CCAAAATGAAAAAAAAAACCGTCGAAATTCTACACAAGAAACAATAAAAATGAATTTAAACTGTAATCGGAAATTATTTCTTAATTGTTATTTTTGGCTGCAATTTCCAAGGAATTTCTTGAATACGTGTGCCGGAAACAATAGAATTGAATACAGTCATGGCCATTGCAAATGCGCGCAAGTAGTTTTTACATCGAACGATAAACCAAGTTGCAAGTACCATTCGCCAAAACACACATACACACACGCGCGCGCACACGCCCGTTTTCCATTTAAATACGAAAATAATTATTCGCAAGTCAGTAAGGGAAGGTGGGGTAATTCGGAACGTGAGAAAATTCGGAACACCGCAAAATTTCGCCGCCAATGAATAGTTTAAGACATGTGAACAACTGTCATCGTTTTCTCTAAACAAAACCTCATATTTCCATTAGCACTCGACGAGTGTGTACGTACTGTGACATCGACATGAAATCAAGTCATGGAAATTTAATATTGAGAATGCCTGTCTGCATTGATTTCACGACATTTTTCGAAGAATCAACTCTGATGAATATGTTTTTAATTATCGTATACCATTAATATTTCGACTCACAAAAGGAATTTTGCATAAAAATTCATTGAGTGACGGAAACACGATTATATTGTAAGCCTTAGTGAGTGGGGAATTTCGGAACGCCCCATATACGGAAAATCGATCAAGTGATTTTTAATACTTTTCAAGTTGATATCGCTTTTTTATGCATATTTATTTTATTTCATGCAAAATTTTGACAAAATACTCATTGCAATTTATGTGATCGTGCTGTCCACTTGAAATGCACCAAAATGATTGGTAGCTATTTCACACGCAACAATTACAAATCCGACTAACAACAATCGCTATTTTTGAACTTTTTCCTCATCAAAATTAATTCTTCTGCCTTTTCCTAGTTCTCCATAAACGTTTTGCATCAAAATTGTTTCAGTTTTCTATCCATTTATGGAGTGTTCCGAATTTCCCCACCATTTTTAAAAATCGCAAAATCAAGGGTTTTTCGCCAAAAGGGTATATTTTTTCAACCGATTCGAATTTCAACAAGCGGCAAGGTCCAAAAGTTAGGTTTTTACATTTACCAAGTCGTACCACTTTAGAATTTGGAAAAATGTTAATTTTTTAGAATGTTATTAAATTATTTCGATGTGCGTTCCGAATTTCCCCACCTTCCCCTAATTAATTGTCAGGGAGCGATGTTATAAATAAAATTCTGCATTAAAATTGTCAGTACGTGTGTTTTTTTCTCTCTCTTCAAATTTGTGTGAATAAATGAGCGATATAGAGCGTGGTACGTATCTTCGAGCATGAAACGCGTGCTCTATTGAGGTGTGGTGAGCATGTATGTGCAAGTGTGTGTGGGTATGGCGATGATGGGGCTGTTTGTGCAAATTACTTCATATATGTTTATTTGTGTGTGTGTGTGCGTGTGGATATCATCCCGTACGGGCTATTTCACGTACATCGTGATTGTTTGAGCTGATGTACATATTGTTAATGTGAAACAAATTAACTTCTTCGATATTAGCCGTATCCTGAGTGGCATATGTACGACTGGTATACGATTAACACGAACTCAATTTTCTCTCTTGTTTTCTCATCCACATCGCCGATTCGGTTTTGCTTCAGTTCGGCCCATATCACGATATTTTATTTCCATTCACAGCAAAAATCAACATGGAAAACCTTTTTCGAACGTTGGCCGAAAATGTGGTAATTTTTCGAGTAAAAAGGATCAAATTGAATGCACGTTGTGTGTTCGTTTGGCGTCGTCTTCTTCTTCCTTTTTTCGGTATTCACTTATTAAGTACACTGTTCCGGTTGAACTCAAACAGGCTGTTATCTGGTTTCAGCCACTTCATTTTCTCATGAAGACACATTTTGAGTTTTTCTTGTTGCTTTTTTCTTCGGTCGCCGTATTTTGCATAAAATATTGACGTCAATTATTATTCAAATTTTCAGAGCCGAGTGCATAATTATATTTGTTCTACTACTCCATAGTTGGTTCAATTTCGAAGAGGAGAAAATTCAAATGATCTTCAAATTATTACCGAACTCGTTGTGTTTTATTGCAACCGTATATTTTCGTTGTACTCTCGATAGAGTTATTATTACTACGAACGAAATTGGCAGGCGATGTGCCAAAACGTAATGTGTACGAGCGTAGTGTGTGTATGTGTTTAACCTGTGGAGTGCATCACAACCGGAGACCGTTTACCACAGGAATGCTTCTTGTAATGTAAGCGCCAACATAAAAGTGGCAAAAGAAGTGTATTGAAGAGCGAACGAATAATAAATAGCATTTTAATTAATTGACATGCAAAAAGGAAACCAAGAAATAAAACAGGAAGTTTCGTAGCTAGAATGTATATTGGCTGCATTGTGTGCTGCCATGATACATATATGCAGGCGAAAGTTGACCTTTTGCTAAATTTCATTTTAAAGCAAGCACTTCGTACATCACATTCAAATGAAATTTTATGACAGCTGAAACCAAGCGACATTAAATTGATGTTTGAAAAAGAGCCGCCTATGTATACATATATGGATGACGTGTGTTTTTATGACATCAAATGCAGTGCGCTTGTCTCATAATACGCTTATGCCATATGATAAACGACCAGATTCAATGAAAAACGGTTATATTTTGTTCAACGCATTAAATGAATTATTTGATGTTGTCTGAAAGGTAGCACAAAGTACACACACACACACACACACACTTACAAACACTTGGTGGTGATCAACAAAAACCACCCGACCACTAAGAATAGTAAAGGAATCGTACGAAAACCTACGGCCATACTTGGAAACAACCTCATCAAAATGCCAGAGTAATTTACCATGCTGACTTAAACTCCGAAATGTCCACAATAGATGAGATTTTGTTGATAAGATCTTGAACTTTTTTTTGAAAATGATACATATGACAAAAAAGTCAATCGATTCGGAGACAAAAATGATTTTAGATGATTTTTTCTTCGTTTTGTTTTCTTGTTAAAGAAAAACTACAAACAAATGTTACGAGCAATGTGAAAAGCTATTTCGAAGGCTGGAAAAGCGAAAACAATTCATAGAAACTCAAGCAAAACACAGCTTCAAAAATAACACGAGCGATGATGTTCCGTGTCAGTGGCAAGTATCGATGTTGCTAGTCTCTGGAGGATATACAAATATAATTTATGATGTTTTTAAGCAAGTATTGAATGTGTATTGAAAACAGTTCTATATGGTGTGCATTCTTGTCGATCCACTTTTCTGTTCTGACTTGTGATTTTTACTATTATACTTATCAAAACAAAAACTTGTGAAGGCTTCGGTACGGCACACATTCTTTTTCGGAGTATTAAATGGATGTGTTCTTTATTCGGTTATTACGGGGAACAGAGCATTTCTAATAATAACCAAATAAATATTTTGTTTTTTTCTTCTTCGTTCTAATGTTTTTCTGGAAAAGTACTTGAAACTTTCTTGCCAAATGTGTGCGTGTCTGCAATTGGGCATTTTGGATGGAACACTTCGTGTTAGTGTATTGAACAAATGATGCAATATGACGCAATCGATACATATGAAAAATGTGGTTGTTTAAACCGATACGGACACATTTCAAAAATATAAATACTTAAGTCAGTGTCGAGTTTAATATGCACGCTTCTCTCTCTCTCTCTCGGCCGTAATAGAACACAATTGAAGGTGAACATAAAAACATTTTTACATAAAACACACAGACACATCGCAATAACATTGCAAACAGAGGAGTAAAGAGTCAAGAGTATCCAGGCCGTCCGTTTGTTAAACGGACTTTTGGTATAATTAACATTTTATTTTCGTCGTTTCAGTTATTATTGTTCTCTCTCTCTCTCTCTCTCTCTCTCTCTCTCTCTCTCTCTCTCTCTCTCTCTCTCCCAATGCCAGGGGATAATGACAGAAAAAAAGTGGAGTACACAATGAAAATAAAACAAAATATCCCCTGCTGAATAAATGGCGCTATTTTTAAAATGTTGTCTTCAAATTCATACGACTGTAGAAGTCAAATAGTACGGCATGGGAATATGTTATGCATTTTATAGGATCGTTTCGATCAGCTCAAGTGCTTGAGCTCACTCTCGCTCCATGCTCATTTTAACAAGCGCATTTCTCGTATGCGTTATTCTATACGGTACTTGTGCTGTAGAATGAATGCTCTTCGCTTTAAAGAGCCAAATGAATTGATGTTAGAAATTTTGAATGCATATTTATTAGGCTATATTATGGATATGAATGCGCTAAAACATACAATTTTCCATATTAAATGAAACGGACCACATACAACTGTACCACTCGTTTCATAACTTTATAACCCAAGCTAATATAGTCATATACTCATATGGCCGATGATTTATAAATTGAGAGCGCTGCTATGAGTGGTTCAAATTTCATTTCTATTATAATGAACACTTGCAATAGCTACTGTTGCCGGTGCTGGGTGTATACGGTCTGTATGTATTTTTGCCCTTGTTTGTTATTTGCTAGTCGTTTTTGTTTTTGTTTGTCACATTTCTTTGGCATTACAAAAATTCTTATTAGAACATTTATGCAATTCTATGCTCGTTTCTCTCATATGCACCGTGTTCATCGCTACGCGGCTGTATTTTTTACCCAATTTAAATGATTTGCGATTTTCAAAGCGATATAATGATTTGAATGAGCCTTTTTCGGCAATGACTTCGAATACAATGTTGATGAAAACATAACACACTCAATGGCAAACTATGTTTTGTATCACATGCAAATATGCCGAATTTTAATTGTTGGCCCATCGCATTTAATAAAAGTGTGAGGTTTTGGCAAATACAAAAACTCGAATTTATTAGAGAACAGCCTGAAAACAATCAGTTTGATTTCCGAGCGTTTTTTTTATTAGAGTAAACGATGAAAATAAGTGGGAAAGAAATTAATTTTCGTTTTTTTTCACTTTGCATTTCAGAACCTTCAAGGTTTCCATTGGATGGATCCAAATGTTCACTCACTCACATCGGAGATACTAGATATTGATGGAGTCAAACCGAAAACAGGCAAAAGTAAGTTATTTATCGAGTAAAACTTATCAAAGAAAGTAAAAAAATGCACACCAAGAAAAAAATGTCAGTCGTTAATCATAATATTTGTTAAAATTCGTCTAGAAAGTGAAACGTCTTCAAAATTGAAAGCACCTTCATGGACGGCCGATCAATTACGGGAAGCGATCGATTCGGTGGTGAGGCAAAAAATGCGTTTCACACAAGCAAGCACCAAATACAATATACCGAAAGGAACGCTATACGATAATATTCTTGGTAAATCGAATCGAATGGAAGTATTGGCCAAATCCGGTTTGAATGCACACGATGAAAATGCGATACTGGAATATTGTTGTGATCTCTCGGCGTCACCGTACAATCGGCGCACACGAAAACCGCTATCAGAAATTTTGCAGTTCGTCTATCGGTTGGAGAACTGTAATCATCAAGTGTTTGACGAGAATGGGAGATTCGCCTATCGATGGTGGTGGGCATTTTGTAAAAAGTATTCAATCGTCTCACTACATTACGATAACAATGCAAATATCAAAATGACCGAACGAAATTGATTTTCTAGCCGCCCATTCGATTCACTTCTTACATCCTGACGAGAAGAAAAAGAACGAATATAAAAAACACATACATTCCATTTCAATGTTAACATATCTTATGATTACTTTATAAGTTTGTCGTGCCTTTTGTTTTATGACATTTTTGCTTCATTTATTTTCCGTTTTGTTTTCTGTTTTGTCGTCGGGTGAACATACATAAAAAAAAAGAACACAAAAACACACAGAATGATTGATCGATTGTATTTTATAGTTTATGTCTAGTGAAAGTACTAGTAGATCTTGAGTCAAAGACGTTAAAAAGTAAGACGTTGTAAAGACAATATGTTTCATGGCAAGCATGAATTCAATAAAATCGAATACAACAATTGAAATAAATTGTATTTATTTGTTTATGTTAATGTGGACACAAACGTGCGAGCAATACTTCTCAGTCTCTCTCTCTCAGTCTCTCTCTATCTCTCTCTCTCTCTCTCTCTTTTACACACAATCGAAATGGTCCAAAATCTATGCGGAATGGAGCGAATCAACTGTGATTATGTTATGGATTCATATGTACGTTGTTCGTATGTATTTGGCTCCCCATACTATTTGCATGTCTATCGATCAACAGTGGGTATGGTGATGTTGTGTGTTATATGGTATGGCAGCCGTCGACTCCGTCCATTCGATGTTTCTTTGATGTTATTCCTTTTATCAAATTTGTAAGCGGTGACATCCTTGCACACTACACAATAGACCGACATATTCAAAACAATAACCTATCTAAAAATACACGGATGTTAATATTTCAACAAGAAATCAAAACCGAAACAACGACAACAACGAAGAAAGAAGAAGCACGAAACGACTGCCATCAACAACAAAAATGTATCCAGCACTTGATCGAATTTACAAAAAATACCTTTTTTTGTCGCTGCTTGTTGTTCGTTTTGTTTCTTGCATGCAAACGAATGACAGATAAACACATTTTCGAAGCAGATAAAAATCGGTAACGGGCAAAAAAATACATCAACAAACCAAAACCGTATTCGACAATTCGAAGGAAAAACGTGAAATATGCAAAACATAGAGACCACGAGCATGGGCTTGAAATATGCATGCCGAAGAGTGGAACAACAGCAACAAAGAAGAAGAAGAAGAAGAGAAAAAAGCAACAAACAAATGAAAATAGAAAGAGTGCTCACATTCACCGGCGTCATCGACAAGAAACCATAAATATCTGCATAAGTACGTGTGCAGTCCATCATATCCATTTTGTAATAAAACTGATGGCTTGACATTTGTCGTTTGCTCGAAGACGGACGCGGCGGCGGTGTGTATGTGTCTACGTGGTTTATATGCAGATTGATAGAATGAATACGCGCGCGAATACGACCGGCCACATCAGATTCAGATTGTTTGATTTGTTGTGTTTGGCTGTCTTTCGATTTCATTCATTCTCGGATCGACTTTGAAATCCTAAGCATTTTTGATCACAAGATAAAAGCATATGTAAATTCATTTGATTGTGGTTGATAGCAGAGTGTACAAGCGCATGTACGCTCTAAGCGTGAGAGAGAAGCAAAGGGAGGCTAAGTGGTAAATGGCAAACGTGAACTACGGCAACAACAATAATATCAGAAAAAGAAGATAAGGCAAAACAAAAAAAGAAGCCTCTGCAAATTTCTTAAATAACGACTGACGGCGAAGAGAGAAAAAATGTAAATAATAACGAATTAAAATAGAAGCGAGGCAGACCAAATAAGTATATATTGTTGTTGTAGTATTGTAATTGGATCGATCGTCCTTGTCGATCGAACAGTCTCTGACAGAGACACACAAGAGCAACGAGCAACGGTACCAATTGAGTCAATTGCGATTTTGAGTCAATTGCAAAGCGAGTGAAATAATAATGGGAAAAAAAGAATGAGCAACAAAGAAACATTTGCATTCATGTTGTACAGGTAAATTTCGATAAGCTCGAACACAACTATATAACAAATGAAATGGTGAAAACCAAACGATATTAAATGACAATCACGCGGACGACCGTCCGAATATTAATCGCAAAAAGACAAGACAAAAGAAGAAAAAAATGAAGCGGTGAAGAAAACTGAACCATCATTGCAATGGAAACGTGTAGAAAAAATGTGACCAGAGCAGCAGAAGAAATGTCGAAAAGGAAATTCCATTCACATTTATTATGAATCGTTCAACCACGCTACTTCTCTCTCTCTCTCTCTGTGTGTGTGTGTGTGTGTGTGTTTTTTTGGTGTCTTGTTGGTCTTCGTCATTTCTTGTCGTTGCCAATATTGCATTCGGCCACTTTTCCATGCATTCGATTTTCATTCATCCACTTGCTCTCTTTCTATCATCTCTTTCTATCTCTCAATCATCCAGTCGATTTATTCATAACTGGTGAACGCTCGCACACGCGCTCGCCCTCTAAACTCATCATTCGTCATCGTTTTCTTTGTGGCTATGGAATATGATTTTTCTTCCATTGCACTTCCATTTTTCTTTTCTCATTGTGTTCGTTTTCCTTTTCTTTTCTTTTGTTTTCTCATTCATTGCGCTCTTCATCGCCGATTCAACGAAATATTTTCCATTTGGTCATTTTCATGCACAACTGAATCGAGCGATGCAGAGATGGAAATGAAAAAAAAAACAGATTCTCGTGACTCTTTTTCTAAATAGATGGAGAGCATTTTTTTTGTCGTCACTCCTCATTTGTTCAATCATCAATTTTTTATTATATTGAATTTTCAGCCAATGCTTTTGTCTTATTTAATTTGAAAAGCGAACAATCAAGAAACACGATTGAAAAATGGATTTGTTCCATTTGTTGAATCTTTTTTTTTTCTTCTGTCGTGCAGACGAAGTGACACGAAATTCAGTCGAGATATACTACCGCATTTTATACAGAAATGGAATTGAAGTAAGAAAATACGTACATAAAATAGATAGCTTCATTATAAAGTCTTCATACTGTGAAAATTCACGGTCGACAGACGGCCAAAGACCAAATGGAAAATGCCCCCCCAGCTAAGATGAACGAACAGTGCATATATTTAGTCAATTGAAAAGAAAAGAAAAAAACGTTCAAACATTTCTCTTTAATTGGATTGGATACTAATCAAAACACTTATAATTCGCTTGATTCCATCGCGTATCAGTGATTACACGCACGCATTTCAAGCGCTAGATCGATTAAAGGCTATTTACTTTTGTTTATCATGATGCGAATTGAAATCAGATTAGGATCAATTTAAATTAAAGCACTGATTTGATTTGATCCCGAAATAAAGCCACCCACCCAATGGTTAATATGACAAACGATTATATCACTTTTTGGTGACCAACAATTTGAATCGATAAACGATAATTAAAACAGTGTGTAAACTCGATTTATTCGCTGCAAACTCATTTGCTAATTAGTAGGTGAATAGTGTATTTTGTTAAATTAAATAAATTGAATGGTTTGGAGCGAAAATGTAATACAGAAAAGTTGAGCGGAAAAATGTCGAATGAAAAGGGATAGCTATATAGTCCACTATAGTTTACTATACAGTATACTATATAGCTATCCCTTTTCCGCTCACTCATTATCGACATTTTTTCCGCTCAACTTTTCTGTATTACATTTTCGCTCCAAACCATTCAATTGTGAATCGTTGCGATTAGATGTGATGATGGTAGGAAATGAGGGCGATACTGGGCGAGCGAGTGAGTGCATGGTGAAAAAGTTGCACCCTCCACGACAAAGTAACAGAGCATTGTGTGGTTTTCTATTATGTTGTTGAATTAAATGTAATGCAGGCGGACCAAAGGGAGCAAATAAAAATGAATTCAGGCACCGCCACTGAAACGAAATAAAAATTGAATAAATAATACTATGCTCTGGTTAAATATGCTCTTTCATTCTCATAATCTGGCTCTTGCACAGGAGCGATCGCTTTGCGACTCTTTATGGATGACAAAATGGATGTGGTGGTGGCGCACACCGCCAAAAATCGTTGTGTTTTATGCTTTTTTGTTTAATAATTTAAATCGGTTCAGGGAAAACAAATACAAACATTATCATTGGCATTGTAAATGGCGTATGTGCAAGAAAGAGATAGAAAGAGTAGGATAGGAGCGAAGTACACAAGTGTATAGCCGACCGCATTAGATACAATTCACCTATTATCTATTCCGTCATGGTCGTGTGTACCATTAGTTGTGACTTTTGTTCACTTTGTCCAGTCTAATTTATATTTATTGCTTGTAATTGTGTAACCAAATCGAAATTAATTTCATTTTATACAAAACTATTTGTTTCATTCGCGATGCATTCAGTGGAGAGCGAGGTGGAGGCTAGCTACCGAAACCGTGCAACACGGTTTTATGAATGCATTACAAATTTATTTATTTGTATTCATGCATTTTGTCCAATTATGTCAACAGAGTGGATTTTGTTCTATTTCCTATATCACGGATGTCAGTCTTGGATCTCGTACAAATATTTGCTCAATGCAATTGAAATTAAATTCAAATTTTTCATTGGAAATGCAATCATTCATTTCATATTATTTCTACCATTGACCCAAGACGGAGAAAAAGCTCCAATTCCATTTTCAATGCTCAACAACTAGAAAAAATGTGAGTTTATTCGGGTTTTTACATGTCATTTTTTCCAGTTTCAATAAGGGTGTTAGACACATTTACCGGAAATAATTAAAAACTGGCGGTTAACGAGTGGCGCCATGACTCACCGACAAACTAATAGACAACAAGCTATGGCGTTTTAGAACATTTAAATTTTACAACTAATGTAAATTACATTGCTATGTGCCCGATTTATTTAAATTAAATGATATAACGCAAAATGGAATTCGATTCAACTGGAATGTAGTTTGCATATGCAATTTTTCGGCCGTTAGACGGTGGGCATACAGGGAGGGAATTGACCTCAATCTCGAAATAGACAGTGGATGAAACATATTTTTTTTTCATTCGATAAAGTCTATTATTGAATCTGCATGCCAAATTTTTTTACATACGTAAAAATAGACTTATTGCCCAATGCATCACATAGATGTTACTGTTTCAAAACTTATAAATAAATATTTATTCTAATAAAATCAATCTATGGAAGTTATAATTAAAAATATAAATAACACGTACGGTCCCAATCTTCTTTAGCTAAAATCTCTCTCTCTCTATCTCTCTTTCTTCCTATCTATTCAACCAGCAAATGAAGATGTGCTTTACTAGTATTGGCGTCTATCGTAAAAGATACATAGCACCCACTTACAAGAACAAGTAATTGAGTAGTTTAGTAAACAGCTCAAGTGTCCTAGTTGGATTAGAGTAAATTATAAGACATGGTGATGTAAGCTTGAACAAATACAGTG